GGTGTTTCCTGGGGCCTCCAGCGCTGTTTTCTTTCCAGGTGTCTACTCGTCTTTCTGCAGCGAGGCGCCAGCACGGACACTAGCGCTTTCCGCCAAGAGAGCGTCGCGATTTGGCCCTTTCCAGGGGAACCGTGGCCGGCGGTTGCCGATGCGCCCGGCTCGTGGGCCCCAGGACATTCCCCCGGGGAGCTTGGACCGCGTTCAGGAGCCCCCTCCCCGGCCCTCCCCTCCCCTGTCCCCGGCGCCGCGGCCGTTCCTTACACGCACACTTAGGCCGGCAGGCGTAGAACCACCCATCGCACCCACACGGACGCGCCGTCAAGCGTCCCCTCAGCGCTCAGGCACACTTGGGTATGCGGACTGCACCTCAGGGCGGCAGGAACACCTCTTCCTTCTCCAGAGACTGGGAGGTGGAGAGAGGAATTTGTGGGCACCGCTCTCCAGTGCTCCCCCACCTCCAGCCCTGGAAGGCGTGTAACAGGGACAGGCTGGTGGGGTGCTGGCTGGGGCTCAAAAGGGCGCCTCTTCTGGGGCCTAAATGAAGCTTCATAAAGCCTGGGCAGGAGCTGCCCCTCCAGGTACCTGGGCACTCCCTCTTCCACTCCGTTGTGGGGCAGGGAAAAGGGACTCTTTGGGGTCACTTCATGCCTTCCCCCCAAGTAGGACTGAGGACACTGTCTTCATCATGCAGAGGGTGCCGGGTCTTCCTCCATCCAAGAACCAGCCCGAGAAGCCTTTCCTCTGTGCCTGGGGAATGCGACCCCTTCCTGAGGGCACGGTGGGATGTCGGTGCTGGAAGAGCTAAGCAGCCGCCATAACCTGGTGAGGAATTCTGGGGGTCCTGTCGCTTTGGAGCCACATACTTGTCTTTTTGATTGTGGAGGCTCTGATCTGGTCAGAAGCCCAGAAGGGGAACATGCATTCAAAGCGAAAGTGGGTGTCTTCCAGGGAACGTCAGGGTTGGGGAGAGTGCTACAATCCCTTCCACCCTGGATGGACTGGGGAGCAGCCAGCCTTGGACCTGCCCTCTGGTCCCAGCTTGCAGACTGAGCCCTAAATTCAACCCCTGGAACCCCACTCCCATCCCGCCTCGTCTGCTCTCTAAGGCTCTTGGTCTTCCTGCAAGGTCCAGACCAAGGAGGCTGGGCTCCCTCCGGCTTTTATCCATTCTGATCTCCAGGTTTGCCCGGACCAATGTAAGTGTTGCCCAATAAAACCTTCTATGACCCCCCCTCCGCCCCATTCACCATACACATAACCAGTGTGTCCTTTCCCTTCTGCCTTTTTAGTAGCTCCGGGTAAATATTGATTTGCCCCCAGTTTACCTCCTCCCTGACTGTCCATTTGCAGACTAAAGAACCGGCCTCTGTAGGGACCTGATTTTTTGTGTTATTTTCTGGGGCCTGTTTTGCCCCCTTCCTTCCTCCAAGTGGCATAGTAAAACTCACGGTGACAAAGAGGCAGGGTAGGGTTCAAGGCCCCAGTTCCTGACAACTTGAGGGCTATTTTACATACGGGTCAGACAGGGCTGGAGGCCAAGGTCAAGTTGAAAGTTGCAGTCTAGCCAGCCTGAGAACTGCCATGCAAGCCTGGAGACCCAGACAGCTGTGAAAGGCCCACCGCCCATCACCCCTCACTCTTGACTTCTTTCTCCTTTGGAATTCTTGTTTCTGGCTCTGTTTGGTTATGGAGCATTTTTTTTTTTTTTTTTCTGCCTTT